CAACGAATCAGATAACGAACAAATCAGGAAAAAAATAATAAATAAATAAAACTCTGTCCGTAGTTATTATCACTGAAAATCTCCCTGACTCACTGACTCAAAATCTCACTGAACACTGAAAATGATGCGTTCCATATTTTGCTTTTCATCNCGCAAATATAAAAAAATTATTATTTAGACTGTCATGTCTTTTTATTATGAAATGATCCAGTAATTTTGTTTGTAATTCAATGTGTATAATAAAATCAATGCTTGTGTGAGTCAACGAATCAGATAACGAACAAATCAGGAAAAAAATAATAAATAAATAAAACTCTGTCCGTAGTTATTATCACTGAAAATCTCCCTGACTCACTGACTCAAAATCTCACTGAACACTGAAAACGATGCGTTCCAAGATTTGTTTTTCATCTCAGACAAAATTAAAATTATTTTATTGTTTATAGTGTACTTAAATGTAGTCTTCAAAATTTTTCTAATTTTGTGTTATTTTATTGTTTTGAAAACTAAAAATATTCAATCGATAATCTTATTTTTACATAACCGACGTTAAACAGCCGATCCAATTTTTTGTTTACTTCTACAAATGTTCAACTCCGCAGCCTTGTAATTTTAAATCCAATCCTGGAGACAAGGGAACTGCTGGATCAAGTATTGAGAGAAATTTGCCTACGTAGAGGACTTTTTGACGGAACTAACTAACATTTGCGTCACATGGAGAGAAAAACCACGAAAATCTCCCACTGTTAGCTCTAACCCATCATCCGTCTATTACTGAGGATTTTTTTCCGTGAGCACTGTATCGGTGCGAACCGGGTGCGGAATTCGTATCGACCAGCCATCGCTGAGACACGAACTCAAATTCCCTCATTGAAAGGTGAACGCTCTATCCTCAGAGCCACAAAATTTTGAGTCATACAATTTTTTTTCATTACTTCACGATTTTTAAAATCATAAAATCGTACATTAAATTAACGCTAAATCTAAGCACAATTTCGTTGCCCTTGTAGTTTGATTTACGTCAGTGTTTCCCAAAGTGTGGTACGCGTACCCACAGGGGTACGAGAACAGTTTAGTAGGGTACGCGTTTTTATGCGAAACAGCTTGCAACAAACGAAAATTTCAAGTTTTTATTTAAAAACAAAGCTAGCCATGAAAAATTACGATTACGTATTTTTCTATTGACTATTTTTTGCAGAGTTTACAGTTAATAATTAGTGGTGTCAATAGCCAGTTGTGATTTGTACCTCTTGTGCAATTTTTTTATAATCAAAAATACATTCATTTTTTTATTGGTGGAACACAGCGTAAGTTTGGGAAACACTGATTTACATTTATCCCAACATGTTTGGCGGATGATAAGTGAAAAAAAATTTAAAAATGGGTGATACGAAGCCAAATATTGTAACCCTACAGCTTGAATAGAATGAAGGCGTGGCTTCAGTGTGGAATGGCGGTCACTGAGATCGATGCTTCAACCAATTAGAAGTGTCAGCAGATGTGGTTTCTCAGGAGGGCGCGCTCCCGAACAAGAAAGTGTATTGACGGAGCTTTTTGCCCTTTCGACATTCACCATAGAAAGGTGAGAAGCAGGGGGAGGGTGGAATCTGGCTTTCTTCCCCCCCCAACTCAATTTTTCTTTTATAGTATCTACTACATCCTTCAATTCAACACTCTTTCCTTTCACTGTTCATTGAAGTAGAATAAAGATAATTTGATTTTACAATTAGTTATACAAACGTCAAGATTAATTTAATGCACTATTAATCGAACGCTTTGAAAGGAGACAGTGATAAACGAAATAAATAACTAAAAGAGAAACGAAGAAACAGCGGTTGTAAATGATTATGGTGAATAGTTTATAGTACTAGCTATTACTTCTATTTCAAATTGTACTTTCTGCAATTCTCTTACAAGTAAAATAGCTGTAATTCTTTTTGTATCTTTACAACTGTTTTTCGTAGGTTCTATCATCACATGACAAAACGCTTTTTAGTGAATAATATACTATTCATATAATTGTTATGTACACGTTAAAGTTATTTATAACTGTAAGAATAAAATTGTAAATTTATAGCCAGCATCCTTAACCCTTTCGAGCCGACTATCACAAATACGTACCAGCATTAAACCGTAAAGATAAAACTGGTAATCTAAGTAATTCTTTAACAGTTTATTAGTGGGCGGGTTATAATTGTTTGATTTATTTAATTCACCATTACTTTAGTTCAAAATAAAATTATTTAGTTATACTTTGAACTAACATTAATTATATATATGATTAAACTAATAATAATTAAGGAATTAAAGTAAAAGCAAGGTAAGTCTGTCAAATTAGCAATGCTGACATTTAAGCTACCGTTTTTAATTTATTTACATCCTGATTCTGATTTTGCACGAATGCTTTTATGAATCATCCGTCCCCAAGGGGTCATGGCTCTGATTATGATAGCGCAAAATGTCAATATAAGATAAAGTTTGTGGAAAATGAAAAATGTTTGAAAAGCTATTCCAACGAAGCATTGTGTAGACTTACAAAAAAATATTTATTATTATTTTAAATATTTAAACTGTTTCCCTTGCTACAATATAATAAACAAGAAGTAAAAAGTGCATTAATGTGTTAATCAGCAACCACCACATACCTTTTTGAAGGTGCGAGGTTTTGTTAATGCAACACGGCGAATAGTAAAAGCTGTAGGCCATGTTACAAATCCTTGAACCCATTTGTAACATGGCCTACAGCTTTTACTATTCGCTACACGTTAAATCATACATACATGGTTGAACCCATTTGTATACTTCCTATTACTGAAAAAAGGAAACACCATAACTATCTTTAGATATTTCTTCGAATCAAGAAAAGATCAGTTCATTTACCAACTATAATTCAGAATACTACAATGTTAATAACCATACTTCCAACGTATTGGATTGAAGATGGTGCGTCATGAACCATAGTTAGTTACGATGGTGATTATAGTTTAGTTACGGAGGTGCAAATTTTGCAACCACTTTCTTATAACCGTTTTTCATCTGCCGTTCTTTTCTTTTTTTTCTTACTCTTTTTTTTTTTTTTTTTTTTTTTTTTTTTTTTTTTTTTTTTTTTTTTTTTTTTTTTTNAAGAGTTTTTTTTTTTTTTTTAAATTTCACAACCACATATTTATGACACACCATCTTTAATCCTATAAGTTGGAAGGATGGCTGTTCAAGTTGTAGTATACGGTGATCTGGAATGTATTTGGTTGAGAAATAAAGTCAGATTAATTTTTTTTATGTTTACGTTTAAAGAAATTTTTCACGATGTTAAAATGTTTATTGTGTTCCTTTTTTCCCTTATAGTGTAACGTTCAGCCAATTGCAATTATGGCCTACAGCTTTAGCTGCAGGCCTTGTAGGGTTTATAACCAAAAAAGGTATAAGGGGATTTTAGCTGATAAGTTAATGCACCTTTAATTTACATTTTTTATTATATTATATTACATATATTTTATACCCTGATTCTTTTATTTTCGTCAGCTGGATTCTTATATTGATTTAGAGAATTCACTAGTAGGGAATTGGCATAAATCATTTGTTTCGGCTGAGAAGATCAAATAACGGTTTGCTTATTTTCACTGAATAAAGGGGAGTTTTAATCCACGCTTAATGGCAATATGAAAGTTTTTTTCCCTCTTTTTTTGCGTGAGCACAAAGAAAAAATCTTTTCTGGAATAAAAGAAATGATTACAAATTTTAAAAAAAAACAAAGTTGAGCTCATGGATTGCGATTTGCTTATTTTCCTAACTAAGAAAAATTAGTTAGAATTATTTTCTAACTAAGAAATTGTCCAAAAACATGCTCACGCAAAAGTCTCAATGTGTTTAGATTCAATATCGGTTGTATCTTAGTCTTTTTGCATGGTTAAGTGCAGCTCATTCGGAATTTTATTGTATCAAAATACTACAAGGAGAGAAATTATTTTCTGTTCCAACAACAACCTGTAGACCGAAAAATTCATCAAAAATATATTCAATACACATAATGCGTATATTAACCATAAATTCTATTAAATAAAGGGTACTATTGTTAAAGGTAAAGCTACAACGATGCACGCCTTCAGCAAACCTTCTTTCCTCATGCATTGTGCATGCATGCATTCTTCCCATCCCTGAAGCATTGGTTTCTTCATACAACGTCTACAATACATCTACCCTGTTCTTTGTACACATATTCTAAGTTTCTGAGAAAACTGCGCGTAAAAGGCACTACTGCATATAATTCAACAAGAGTAAAGGTACGATGCTATTAAAAATGTAAAGGTACTACTCAACACATTTTCAACAAACCTTTTTTACTGCATACGCCGAGACATTTCTTGAGCCTACACACTGTTGGAATTTTCATTTTAAAATTATGGTAAAATAACTGGCTACTGTCTATCCATCCGATTAAAGTTTACAGTAAAGAACGTTTTTTACCTTTATGGTTTTTTAACCATTTACAACTAGCATTTTTCAAAAACGTAAAAAATAATATTTAACTAGATCTTCTAATCTGCTTTTCGTAGGGTAATGGACATTGGAGAGTGGTGGTCACTGGAAATTCTTCGTGTGTTGAAGGAAATGGAGTAAATATTGTGGTGTCAATACTGGGAATCGAACCCCAGTTCCGCCAGTCATGAGATTGACAGATTAACCTGCTCCACTACGATATGTACGAAGTTGCAACGAACTAAGCGGCTTCATTAGGTGGTCCTAGTTGGTGTGATAAAATTCTGGTTGCTTAACCATATTAGGTGAAAGCAGTTAATTTACTGTTTTTTTTCACACTTAACGGTTTGACTACTATTTTATTTATAATTATTTTACTCTTTTGATTGAATATGGTAAAATAACCATGAAATAAATTGTTATTTAACCACTTTTTCCGAGAAATTTCAAAGAGTGCGAGCCTGGCATTGGTAAAGGTACATGCTATAAAAATTGTAAAGGTACTACTCAGCACAAATTCAACAAACCTTCTTTCCTCATGCATACGCTGAGACATTTCTTGAGCCTACAAGCCTGGCATTGGTTTCTTCTTGCAACGTCCACAATACATCTACCCTGTTCTTTGCACACGTATTCTAAGTTTCTGCGAATACTGCGCTTGAAAAACCCACGGCAACCGTCGCAACTGGGCACACCATAGTGACGACCGGAAGCCTTGTCTCCACAGACTCGACAGAGCACTTCCGGTTTTTCCGAGACCATATTCATGTCTCCTATGAAAAACAAAATTACACGCATTATATTAGTTGTCTAAATAAATAAAAAAAGATCAAAATTTACTAGCTAAATCATCAATAAACCTACGTAATCAATATACGTACTTTTACCAATCCGATTTGTGGAAGTACGTGTAAGGATTTCGTTGTTTGCTCTTAAAATTGCTTGAACAGCACGCCCAAAATTGCCTAATGAACCAGCATTTTTTCAGGCTTTCAGCTTATTTAAAACTTAGGAAGATGCACCACGGATATTTGATCATAGTCAGACGATGTGGTTTGTTCAGTCCAAAATATCACAGCACATAAATAGTAGCGCTAATTTTCACCTCGAAATTAATTTAAATCTTGCTACTTGCAATCGTTGGCTAGTTGAAAAATCTGTCAATTTGCAATACGTCAGGATAATTAGAAAAGCCTACAGTACATTTAATATTTTAGCATTTAGCAGCTAGCCCACATACCATTGGCTAGTAAGAAAATATCTGTAATTTTTTGCTTCTTTCACCTGTTTAGTTCAAGCTGTTATTATAAGTCCAGACCAGTGAAGGCTTATAGTAAATAGTTATATGAAAGATTTATTGCAAAGCAATTTTTTACAGCACATGAAAAATTACATAAATAAACAAATTTTACAATAAACAAAAATATTTTACATTTAATGTAAAAAAATATAAAAGTGCGAAATCGAAGAGAAAATAAAAAATTGATTTTATTAAAAAGCCAGTGATCTTGTAATCCCTCTTCATTTTATCCATGCTTCGCGCTTTTCACAACCCATTAAACCAAGCATCCTTTAAAAAAAAAATTATATACAATAAAAAAAAAATTTAAAACTAGTTGCACAAGTGTTTTTTTTTCTTTCAGGATTTATTTCACGAAACAAGTTCACAATATGCCTACTATGGTATATATATAATATTAATGTTTATATTTTGGATCTGAAGTCCAAGAATATTGCATCTTTAAGGCCAAAGTGGTAGATAATAGAAAGAACTACAAGGTAAGTCCAAAATGAATGGCTCGATTTCCTAGGTATACTTAGCAACATCTTATAAAATGCATTCATTTAAAATTTACACTTGACTTGAATTAAGTTGAATTCTAACTTGAGTTTAGGACCACCAATGCTCAACTCCGTAGCCTTGGACTTCAAAAGTACTTACTTAATTTGTTGGAAAAGTACAACTTAAATTAGCAGATATGCATATCAGCAAATAAAAGTTACTAAGTTTATGATCGAGAAAAAAAAATAATTTTCTTTTAGATTGAAAAAAATATTGTTTCGTGCACTTTTAATTATTATAATTAATTATAGTCTCTTAATTATAAATATAGTTTATTAATTATAGTCATTTTATAAATTGGAAAATTTCATTACTAAATGTTTATTTCAAAACATTTCAAAATTACTTACCTAATTTCTTGAGAAAATACAACTTATATTAACAGATATGTATATCAGAAAATAAAATATGTATATTGTATATATATTTTTTAAAATTGTTTCAAGTGTTTATCAATCAAGGCTATAAAGTGTTTGAGTGACTGATATGAGAAATCAAAGAAACAGTCTTTATCAGAAAGTATATAAAATCACTGCGGCTGTTAATTTTCCCACATTCCTTTGCCCCGTGTGATTTTTCGACGCGCATATATATGAGAGATTACAGATTACAGTCAAACATTCAAATGCCAAAGTTTAAAATGATTTTATAAAAGATATCTTTTGACCCAATTATAAAACTTTAAATTTCAGGATTTTCATTTCAAGATAACCTTTTAATCATGACATTTTCAGGATTTTATAAGAAATTTCTAATTGTACACTGTTACAATCTTCTCAGAAAAAATGGTTAATTAAAAATTTATTCAATTATTATTTTACCGTATTCAAACAAAACAGTCAAATAACCATAAATAAGATGTATTCATACCGTTAACCATTAATTAACTGCTTTTACCAGATACGGTTAAACAAGCAGAATTTTATCGCATCAACAAGATCCACTTATTATTGAAGCCACTTGGTTCTTTGCAGATGGGTACATATTATAGCTGAGATTGCTAATCCGTCAATCTCATAACCGACGGAACGGGGTTCGAGTCCCAGCGTTGACACCAAAATATTTCCTTCAATACATGAATAGTTCCAATTTGAGACCCTGGACTATTATAATACGATACATTCGTTCAATCATAGATTCCAACGCAATAACGATGCTTAACACAAAAAGTCTAGTATTTCCATTCTCTTAAGATAGGTGAAACAAGCAGATAAACTAACTAAACTAAATTTCACGGTTAATTTAATAAAACACAACTCAACCACAACCTAACTCCAATTGTCATTACCTAACGAAAAGCCGAGCTCCAACGTCCAGCTGTATTCCTTTTTATACGGTTTTGAAACCATGCTAGTTGCAAATGGTTAAAAAAAACTATATTTTTTTTATTCCTGGTTTTTTTAACCATACTAGTTGCCGACGGTTTCAAAAGCGTAAAGGGAAAAAATGGTCTTTTGCTTAAACTTTAAAGTTGAATGGATGGACAGACTGCAGCCGCCTATTTTGCTGTTATTTTAGAATGAAGTTTTTAACCTATTTCTTCTTATTTCTTTTTCAGTATTATTCTCGTTGTTATGTATTCTTGAATAACGATTAGAAAAATCAACTAAAAAAAAAGGTGGGACATCAAAACCCTCGATTTTGCTTACAAAGTTCATCAACAGCAGGTGCTTTACTAAAAAATTGTAAAAACAATGTTTTCAAAGTAATCACCAATTGCCAATCAATGTTGCTAAAGTCAGGGGGAACAAAACTAACTAACGCCAGTGCAACCATTTTGGTTGAAATCACCTAACAAAAATATTATTTTTAGTTTTTCCAATCAAGGCCATTCTCTAGAAAGGAGGGGAGGTCAATATCTTTCGGTACCAGAGACTGTGAAAATCCCAATCAAAATTTCTTTTAAAAAATATAGTATTTATTAATAAGTTTTTTAAAGAGAAAATAAAAAGAAAATGTCTTTATATCAACATAAAAACTACGATTTTTTTCCAAAAATTTTACAAAATGGTAAAATAATGGTTTTGGTGATTTGAAGAAAGGGCGCGTCATAAATTTTGTCCTGGGCCTTTGCTAAGAATTGGATGTAGTTGTCTTCTTCCTCCGCTGCACTGCAGCTTTCGTGAGCCTCGCATAGACACGCATCTAGGGGAAGGGTACCTCGTAGTACCTGGTCCTACCCCGAGAGCAGAAACGAAACAGAACAGTGCTACTATTAGATTTAATCCTTATTGTTTGCTGAAGTATGAATCTTCAGTAATCGAATAATAAACTTGACTAAAAATAATTTATTATAACTGTATTGACCAATAAGGCTAGTGTAAAACTTCAAGAACATTAGACATAGCAAAGCAAAGTTATCTATAAAGCCGTCGTGGATTCAACAACATCAACGCGTCAATATGCTAGGTTCTTGACTAGTAAAAAGTAATTCAGCGCTTGCTCACTGGGAAACAACTAATTTCGATTTCGAACCAATAGAGATATCCTGTTTCACTCCACTATCAGGTCTTATAAACTTCTTTGCAGATTTTTTATTTCAGTAATAGTTGAAATGAAAATAAAAAAAACAAACATTTAATTGTCTTTAACTTATAAAATACGTAATTTCATTTGGTAGAATTTTTCAAAAATGTTTATTGCTTTTTAAACTTTTTTATAGCCTAAATCGGTTCACTAATTTATTTGTAATCCTGTCTGTCATTTTAGATAGACAATATTAGGTTTCAGAATTTCCAAGTATAAAAATTTTTTCACTTATTTATTTATTTATTTTAAATGTTATGCTCGTTTCGTGTTTAACTTTAAGCGTAATTTTGCCATTCATAAGAGTTTCCTGTGATTTAGAAATTCTAACTGGTCGTGGGCCTGAAACAAATTTAACAAAATTAATATCACAGCATGAATAACGTGTAAGGTTAAACATGTTTTGAGCGTCATCCCTTATTTGGGTATATTTGTGCAAAATAGCACCGTTGGTTATTTTTTGGTCTGCTTCATAGTAGGTTTGCAGAGTCTTCCGAAATCAGTTGTTGTATGATTCGTTGAAAGTTCGATAGAAAGTATGAGGGGATTTAATTAACAACAACCTTCATCAATGAAATGGTACCTCAAGATGAAATCGAGTTAACATGTCTTATATACTAGTGATTTGTCATTTAATATTTGTAGTGGTAGTTACACCACATTACTCCCCTTCCAGAATTTTATCTGTGATAGAATTCGATGAACGAATACCACTAGTTGATTCATGCTGTTTTTATTTATTTATGGAAATTTTTTTTTTTTTGTTGTTCGCTCATTTTTTTTCTCTTTATAGCATTTTTTTCATTATTTTTTTTTCCTCATTTTTTATTTATTTACCGCGGGAGTCTTTATTTACTTCACCGGATTTGTTTTTTCTTTGGGCAGTATATTTTTAAGCAAATCAACTGTTTAATGTGGATCATCCATCGATATTGGCAAGTTCTAATCACGTCCGGGCCAACATGTCTTATATACTAGTGATTTGTTATTTAATATTTGTAGTGGTAGTTACGCCGCGAGTACGCGTTATATTGTAAACAATACTAGTATAATAATATTGAATGGTGCGTTTTTTCAAAAGCTTAGGCGTAAAAATCAGTCGGATGTAGTAACCCGGATGTCTAACGACGAATTTCAACTCCTAGCGCCCTCTATGCTTAGCTTTACACGATCAACCTTCTATTTTTTGACCGAGTGGAAAAGTAATGGAATGCTTATTGGTTTATATAGTTGTAGATTTGTCGTTTACAGTCTTGGGTTTTTATAACCATCGTTGAACAGTCGACTCAATTTGTTTGGGTATACGACTACGAATAACTAGCTTAACCCCGCCCAGCCCCCGTAAGGGGGCATCCGGGGACACTCCGAAAGTTCGAAGTGTGAGCAACAGTTCAATCACATAAGCAAACATATTCAAAATTTTCAAACTAGAGTTTTAACAATTGGGTAGAATATTGAATACGAAATCCTGAAAACAGCGTTACTTAGAAGTGAACTAAATACAAACAAACATTACAAAGAAAATAAACAGTATCAATCAGAAGAGATATTGATGTCGCATCTTCAGTAGAGGTGCACATGGCTGAAAGCCCTTATATTGTTAAATAGTTTAAAAAAAGAATAAGTTAACTCCTCCCAAAAACTAGCAATAACTGAAACGGTTTTACTACCAGCCTTTTCTCTTTTCCGTCTCGCTTTCATTCCTGGAGGTGCAAAGTTAATAAAAGGAAACAATTTCACATGGTTATATATAAAATGTTTATACGACTACAAATGTTTAACTCTGTAGCCTTTTAATTTTGAACCCAATCCCGAAGACATGAGAACTCCTGGATCAAGTATTGATAGAGATTTGTTTTCGTGGAGAACTTTTTGATGGCACTAACCCGCATTTGCGTTACATGGAGAGGATGACCACGAGAGCATTCCACAATTAGCCTGACGGTAAAGGGACTCTAACCCATGATCCATCTACCACTGAGGATATTTCACGTCAGCACTGTGGTCGTTTCAAGCCGGATGCGGATTCGTATTGACCAGTCATCGGCAGTTTGGGATTTGGCATTTTGAATGCTAGATGGCAATTTGTATGTTTGGGTCAGTTTTGCAATTGTTTTTTAAATATTGCTAAAATTTTGCTACAATATATTCACGCATTTTAAATAATAACAAACTGTAACTAACTGTAACAAACTGTAACATCGTATTTAACTGCAATTATGATTTTATATAAATTTGTAGTAGAAATCAGGCATAACGAGAAAAATAATCGGTTCCCGAGAGTACGAATGAGAAAAGGAAAAGTGCTTCTTTCTCCTTTCACTGCTCCTGAACAAATTAAATTCGGATTTTTTTTCAGTGTTTTAATTACTGACTTATTTCAATGTCTTTTTCGATGTGCTCCACACATAAATTTAAATCTAATTCAAAATTGAGAGCGAAAACTAGAATAAGGAATTTTAGAAAATTGTTTTCAGCTTAAAAAAAGAGATTGATGAAGAGACTTTTTTGATTTTTTTCCACGAAAAGAATTTTAAATAAATAATGCGAAAATTTGGATTAAACATGTAGAAGGTTTAGTTGCAAGAATGAAAATTGAGATAATTAAAAATCGAAGAAAAAACAAGACTGAACTTGAGGAAATTGTTTCTCCTTTTCTTTACCGAAAAGAGGGTTGCAAAATCTTTGCTGGCTGGTTTTTTTTATGCACTTTTTCATAACGATAAATAATAAACGATAAAATAATAACATGAAAACATATATACGAGAATTTGAAAATTGAGATAATTTAAAATCTGAGGAGAGAAAAAGGAAGAAAAAAATGTACCTCAGAACTTTGGAAAATTTTTTTCTTATTCTTTTCTGAAAACATATTTGCATGATTTTGGCTGACTTTTTGACACATTTCTTTGAATTTTAAGAACTTTTTTGAAAGTGTAAAATTAAAAATAAAAGAACTAAATTTGAAATACAGTATTTTGAAGTTACA